AGCACCAAACGCAAAAATGTAGCAAGGGGTAGGGGGTAGGGTCATTAAATATGTGCTGTGAAGAAAGAATGAGACAGGAGGAAATTACTTTTAATGCTAACACTGACATATTAGATGGTAGATAATAGTTAACTGACAGACTAAAATTTCCTAATTTAATATTTCTAACAATCCTGAAATCTAAGACAGGCTGTATCATAATTACCAAATAATACATAAAATGGCTCTTCTCAGTGAAAAGTCTGAAAAAAAAACCTACTAAAATTATCTAGTCTTAATAGATACTTGCTATAAGGATACAACTTAACTCCTTTTATTAAGAGCCAAGATTTAAGCAGTCTAAGTCTGTTCTCCAGAACCCAGTCTGTCAGTTTGTTGTACGGTAAGGGCTTGTATGTTGCTATGATGCTGAACGCTATGCCACCACTACTTCAAACACAAACACGTAATCCATGGTGGACAGGTTTCAGCGGAGCTTCCAGACTAAGACAGACTAGGAAGAAAGGCCTAGTGATCTATTTCCAAAAATTAGCCAATGAAAACCTTATGGTTCACAAAGTGCTGATACAGTGCTAGAAGATGAGCCCCCAAGGTTAGAAGGCACTACACAATGTTTCAGTGGAGCTTCCAGAGTAAGGCAGATTAGGAAGAAAGGCCTAGTGATCTATTTCCAAAAATTAGCCAATGAAAACCTTATGGTTCACAAAGTGCTGATATAGTGCTAGAAGATGAGCCCCTAAGGTTAGAAGGCACTACACAATGTTTCAGTGGAGCTTCCAGAGTAAGGCAGATTAGGAAGAAAGGCCTGGTGATCTACTTCCAAAAATTAGCCAGTGAAAACCTTATGGATCTCAAAGTGTCAATATAGTGCTGGAAGATGAGGCCCCTAGGTTACAAGACACTACAAAATGGCTACAACAATGGACACAAACATACCAATGATCATGAAGATGGTACAGGACTGGAGAACGCTTCATTCTGTTATATGCAGAGTCGCCAGGAGTCAGAGCTGATTTAATGGCAACTAACCAGTTTGTTCTATACTTTCTTAAGCAAACAGTCTCACCTCACTCTTACAAACCATACATATATACACATATGTAAACAAGTTTTAAGCGTACATATATACACCTTTCTTCTGGAGTCTATCATGTCCTATCTTATAGTTATTATATACAAGCTCTTTAAATTATACGGATTTCAAATCTATTTAGGGCAGAGTCGATTCTACGGCATCTATGTATTCCACAGTTTAGTAACAATTTTTGATTACAGGATCACCCGCTTTTTTTTTTTAATTTTTTTTTTTATTTTTTATATTTTATTGTACTTCACATGAAGGCTTACAGAACAAATAGTTTCTCATGAAACAGTAGTACACATGTTGTTTTATGACATTGGTTAACAACCCCACAACATGTCAACCCTCTCAATTCTCAACCTTTTTTTTTTTTTTGGTGAAAATACACATAGCCAAAGATACACTGTTTCAAAAATTTCTACATACACAGTTCGGTGACATTGACTACGCTCTTCCAATTGTGCTGTTATTCTCACTTAAGATGAAGGCTTGCAGAACAAAATAGTTTCTCATTTAACAGTTACTACAATTGCCCTATGACAATGGTTAACAATCTCACAACACATCAACAATATCCTTACTGAACTCTGGGTTCCCTATCACCACCTTCCTTGTCCCCTTCTGCCTTCTGGCCCTTGTCACTGGACTCCTGTACCTCGTTAGTCTCATTTGGTTTTACGGGGCTGTCCACTGCAGGCTGAACAGTGAACCTCAGAGATAACTTCACCACTGAGCTAAAAGGGTGTCTGGGAGCCATACTCTCAAGGTTTCTCCAGTCTCCTTTAGGCCAGTAAATCTGGTCTTTTTTTTGTGAGTTAGAATTATGCTCTACATCCTTCTCCAGCTCTGTCCAGAACCCTCTGTTGAGGATCACCCACTTTTTGAAAGTCTGCTTTACACCACTTGTTTTTATAAAAGACCTGCATTAGTACCTGTTTTCATTAACCAAAAGAAATTCAAAGAGGATTGTCACTTTTATAGAAAAAAGAACAAAAAAAAAAAGCAGAAATAGCGTTCTAGCGTTTATTTTGCAGCAAGCAAGCCATTAAAGAGGCAGTGCACAACCCAAGCAGCGATGTTGCCAAGCTCCTTCCAGGGAACTATACTCAACATTCCTGCTTTTACTATACGTTAGGGTTATTTTAGGTTTTATGTGTTATTTGGTATGATTTGGTAGGTTATTTTTTGGGTTTGAGAATGCTCAAAAATTTTTCCCATACAAATTAATGGTAATTACTGCTTTACTTTACACCATTTCAGCTTACAAAATGTTTCATAGGGACAGTCTACTTTCGGATAGTGGGGAAACCTATAATACTTTGAACTTTCTATAGACTCTATTACCTAAAAAGAATTTAAGGCTGGGTAATTCTTTGTAGTTTAGTTAGGAAAAAAAAAACCTCTGCAACTATTAGGTGGTGGTGTCTCTGCCTAGAGGTGTAGGGGCAGGGAGTGCTATCAGTTAAGCACAAGCCAGACCAAAGAGCCTCTCCTCTCCCCTTGAAAGACTGGATTCCATCCAAGTCAATTAACATCCCTTAGCTAAAGACAGAATCTGCCTAGGTTCACTTCAGAGGATCTCAAGAAGCTGATGTAATCTAGGGATTTTCCTAGTGGTCTGCATGTACAGAAGAACATGAAAGTTTACTCTATGAGCTAATGACTAGGTCAAATCTCTAAGAAAACACTAGAACTTGGACTCCAAAGAGTCCTATAAAAGTTACAGAATCCAAGTCTTTATGCTGAATTCCATCTATACCAGAGCCTGAAAGTTCACGCCGGTATGACCTCACTGCAAACTCTGTAAAGGCCTCCAAACCAACTGACCCCTCACAAGTGAAAAGGCAGGTTATGTCCTAAGGCATATACCATATGTTAAACGTTCTTACATATCCCTGGTCATTTCCTTGTCTTGTGGGTAGTAACAGAGCCTACAGCAGAGGCAAACTGGGAGAGCAAAGGCTGAATCAAGACAATTCAACTGTCAAGATTGAACAGGACAAGTTTGCAAATGCACAGGAAACAGAAATGAAAGGTTATATAGCAAAGTTAACAGTGGGTACCTCTGGGGAAGGATGTGAGATGGAGGTGGAAGTGTGTGAAGGTGGTTTTCATTTACTATATATACACTGTATTGTTTTTTTTTATGAGCATGAATTTACTTCTGTAACTTTAAAAACAAAACTTTAAATAAAATTTTAAAATGTGAGTCTATTTAAAGAAAACAAAAGTGCCCACAAGGAGGTCAAAATGATACATAAATGCCATTTTGCAGAAGTTTTGCTGTTAGAGAAACCTATAATGCAATTGTCCTATCCTACAAAATAAAAAGGAATACTGGTAACATTACAAAAAAACCCATAGCAACTGTCACCCACTACTGTACTCACATTCACACATTCTGATTCTATACTATTAGCCACCAGAGAGTTTGAGTAACACCCCCTCCCCCAATTATAACCACTCTAACAAACCCTTTTCAATCTTAACAGGAAAGTTTAATCCATGGGCCAGTGACCTCATCACTAAAAAGTTTAGTAGTGCAGAAGTAAATAATCATTAATAAAATGTTCACAATAATCCATAAGTCATAAAAAAATTTTATTTAGTTTTCTGCACATCAGTTTTATTCTACATAAGGGAAAAGTTTCCTTTTATTCTTCATAAGAAGAGAAAAAAAAGTTTCCCAACCCGAAATGCAAACTACCTGGACAATCAAGTTTATCATTTTAACAGACTGTCTATATTTAACACGACTATTTCAGAGTAAGGGAACCCTGGTGGTGTAGTGGTTAAGAGCTACGGCTACTAACCAAAAAGGTCAGCAGTTCAAATCCACCAAGCGCTCCTTGGAAACCCTATGGGGCAGTTCTACCCTGTCCTACAGTGTTGCTATGAGTCAGAATTGACTCGACAGCAACAGGTTTGGGGTTTTTTTTTGGTGTTTTAGGGTAAAAAAAAAAAAAAAAGTAAAAGTATAACTTTATACAACCATACTCCTGAAAAAAGGTGTGGGGAGGGACACAAACTATACTCTGAAAACAGTACAATTCAGTCATAATACTAAATGTAGACAATACTATTATATAATTTAGCAAGGCAAAATATGACTAAACAACTTTAAAAGTTATATTTGCCTGTGATCTCAGCATCTTAATACTTACAGTGTAAATAAGCATGAAACATATCCTCAATTTTTTCTTTTCATTTTAGTTCATTTTTCTAAAAATCGTTAAGTCATATTGAAAACAGCCCAAATCACCATAAATTAGGACAGACAAAAACCACATAACAAATTATTTTCAGAAGGACTTTTGTTTAATCTATTTTTTGAATCCATGGCATAGTAGCAAAGTTTAAGAATAAAAACATACACACTATATGTCTCATTTCCCAACCTTCCCTCATCAGGCTAGTTATTAATTTTGGAGTATCCTCCCAGAGTTTCTTTAAACACAGAAGAGCAGACACAAGTTTATATTCTTGTTCGCCCCCCTCTTTTTTTAACACAAAAAATAACACACTATTCACATTGTTCTACACTTTGTTTTTTTACTTGATAACGCATTTTGGAGATCTTTCTGTGTCAGTACACAGAAAGCTAGCTTCCTCATTCTTTTTTTTATAGCTAACCATGACTAACTAGTTCTACCACAACCTTCAGTTTACTTCTTCAAGTTAGCTTTGAATGACATTATGTTCAGTCAACTACTTAACTCTTGAATTCATTTTCTTCCCATAACGAGATTTTAAAACATCAGATTTGAGATGTCCCAAGGGATATGTTTCAGAGAAAGCACCTTAATATCTAGATTACATTTTTCAAATGTTTATTTCCCAACAGCCAGAGGGAAAATACTCCACAAATTTCTCCTCTGATCATTAAAATAAAGGTACAAATAGCTTCAGGTGAAATTACCTTTACTTTGATTTTGGGGATCAGCGTAATAGGCAAATCAACAATGACGTTAAGTTTCTTTACTTCTTGTATTTTTCTTTCACTGTAAAAGAAACTATTGATTAAAAAAAGGCTTAAATTCTTAAAGTCATATGGCATGGCATGGCATGGCATTCTAACAACAAGAAACTACAACCTGATTCGATCTTTCATCTGCAAGGTCAGAAGACCAAGGTTTTTATCTTTCAAGATTCTTATCACTATTATCAACAGTATGATTTCCACGCCAGTGAAAAACACTTTTAAGAATATAAACTCTGTGGCGCTACTTGTTAGAATTATACACCCAGGGCCACGGCGCTAGAACGATCTACAGAGAATCCAGCTTCGCAGGAGGAAAGGGATCTAGATATGCCAGCCGTGGCGGTGACAAGGAGCGGGGAGGCGCCAATGTAAGGAAGGAGGGAAACCCGGAGCCGCGCGGTTAGCCCTCGAACCGGCTGAGTAGCTCGAGCGCGACGCTCGGAGTCCCGCGCTTCTCTAGGACTGAGCCCCGGAACCACGAACACTAACGGAACCAGCCCAAAAGCAGCCGCGGCCGCTCGGACTACGGACCGCGGCGCACGATCCGGGCGCCGAGAGGGCGGGGGTTCCCCGGAGGAGCTGGCAGCCCCAGCGCCCCATTGGGCACCGCTCCAAACGTGCCTGAGTTGTGACAGGAATAAAGTGGGTCACAAGGCCTAGCGGGTCCCCGGCGAAAGCCCTCGCGGCACCCGATGCCTGGCTTTCCTGGCCGCCCCGACGCTGGAATCAGACGCAACCCCGGGCGCCCTCAGGTACCCGGTCCCGCCGTGCACCCCAATCCCGCCCCTGCCCTGCAGGTAACCCCAGCTGCCCAGAAGGGCCCCTCAGCCAGGGCGGGCCTCCGCCCCAACCCCCGGGGAAAGACACATTAGGGTGACAGGCAAAACTTGGGCTTCAGCTCCCGCCTTCCCTTCCCTTCGCCGCCGCCCCCCGGCCCCGCATACACCGCCCCTTCGCTCCCTCCCCTTCCCCGCGCCCTTACCTTGTAGCTTGCGGCGGCTCCGGCTTCTTCCCTCCCCCACCCTGGAGTTTGGCTGCGGTGATTCGGAACCACAAACCCCGCTGCGTACAGGAGACACCGCGGCTCCAGCGCCAGCTGCACCTGGGGCTGAGTGGCGCCCCCCACCCGCCCCCCAGAAAATTCACCGCTACTGCTGCCCAGTCCTCCCCCTCCCTTCTCTTCCCCTCCTCCACCGGCACCGGGAGCACGCATGCGCTACCGAGGCAAGCCTACCAGCGCACGTTCGGCCCCGGGCCCGTTCGGTGGTACGCCACTCACCGGGAGCGCGCACGCGTCGGCGACCAGATTTCGCTCGCGCTCTCCAGGGTTTCCTTTTTTAAACCGGTAGCCGCAAGCCTTGTCTGTGATTGCGCTCCCTCCTGGCGCATGCGTCGTCAGGGACCACCGCGGGCTCCGACGGCTGGCCCCAGCTCTCAGATCGCCCCTCCCCTTACTCTCCCTTTTCCCGGCGTGTCTCGGTGCGCATGCGACTTGCCCCGTTAGGCAGCGCGGAGTTGCGTGCGGAGTTCTCGGGGTCCCGTGGAGACTCCTGCTGTCTTGACCCCCGCGTCTGCGCGGTTTGTGGCCGTGGCCCGAGCTGCGCTCCTCTTGCCCGCCGCCGGGCGCGGAGGAAACCGGGATGTCCCGGTTCCCCCTTGCCCGCACTGGCCAGGAGGGTGACGGTTACTGGAAAGCCGGGGAGGCGGGGCCTGGCTGGGTGGAGGGTGCGGCCGGTCGCGGGAGCGTTAGAACGGAGCGAGTTTGGCTTTCACCCTGGATGCCGCGAGTGGGGAGGACAAGACCTTCCTGCCGGATGAGGGACCCAGAGGCCAAAAAGGGGAGCCTCTCTCCTTGGAAAGCAAAACAACCTTTTGGGTGCCAGGGAAGATTTTTCGGGTGTTGTTCAGAGCAAGGTTTTTTTCTTCTTTCCTGAGAAGGCATCACTCGCGTTTCCTCACCTGGAGTTGGGGGCAAAGGCAGATGATAACTGGACCACATTCTTTTCCTTATCTCCTGGATAAGTACGGCATCAGCCGCTTCTTGGTGGGTGGGTCTGGGGAGACAGGAGGCTTGAGGAGGGAGGCAAAGAACGGCAAGATGTATTTGTTATAGTTTGCAGTTTTTTCCGCTGGTCCTTAATGAAAAGCCAGGTAACGATATAATGGAAGATGGGGGAATTAAGCAATTGGGATAAACCAGGACCTAATTTAAATGGGTTCCCTTTGGAACTTGTGAATACTTCCTCTTTATCTTGGGAAATTTACTTCTGTGGATGCATCAGACAAACTCGGTCCACTTGGGAAAGCACTTATAAATAACTGAAAAGGAGGTCTTTACAATCTTAATGCCTAGGAATTTCCACGTTTTCAATGAATGTCCTTTGGATTTGAAATATAAGCCAGCTTCTTGTTTCAAAAAATAAACGTTACTGTTTGGTTATAAAATCCTCCCTTCAAAGTAACATTCACCTCAGTAAACATTACAAACTCTTGCTGTATACTCAGGAGAAAAAAAAAAAACCATCAAAATTAAGGAACTTATCTAAATCCCTGATTCTTCATCTGAGAACTTTTCTATCAGGAGTGGAGAACATGATTTATTAATTAATTCCATTATATAGCAGAAGGGATTTTAGTAGGGTTTTTTTGTTTGTTTGGCCTGCTCAGCATTCATTCCCTATTCTGATAATTTCGTTTGGAGAACTATCCTTTGTCCACTCTCAGTCCATCTGGTTTGGGGAGGGCCCCAAAGGGAAACCATATTTGAGTCAATCCTCTGCCTTAAAGTAAAGCTACCAAAAAGGTGCTCTTTCTTTAACAGCGGATTACAATCTGGAAGGATGGAGGCCTGGGCCACCATGGATTCTGAGAAAGGAGGCATCATGCAAAAAAGCAAACTTTTTGGCCTGGAGACATGTTTGATGCCCCTGAATCGAACGTGGACTAAATACCTCTGGGAATTTCAGTTGAACAAATCAATAAATTCTTTTGTGTATTTGTTATGTAGTTTAAACTAGTGAGAAGTTTTCTGTCACTTCCAATCAAGCATCCTAACTGATGGTGCAAGAGCAGAGGCAAGGTAATAATACTGATAAGGTAAGTTGTATTATAATGAAGTGTGCAAAAACCTGAAGTTAGAAAACCAAAAGGGAAGAACACGCTCAGCATTTCTCAAACTGAAAGAACTGAAGAAAAAATTCAAGCCTCGAGTTGCATTATTGAAGGACTCTATGGACAAAATATTGAGAGATGCAGGAAGCATCAAAAGAAAATGGAAGTACACAGAGTCACTACCAAAAAAAATTGGGCGACGTTCATTTCAGGAGGTAGCATATGATCAAGAACTGATGGTATTGAAGGAAGAAGTCCAAGCTGCACTGAAGGCATTGGTGAAAAACGAGGCTTCAGGAATTGATGGAATACCAGTGGAGATGTTTGAACAAACGGATGCAACCCTGGAAATGCTCACTCATCTATACCAAGAATTTGGAAGACAGATACTGGCCAACCAACTGGAAGTGATCCATATTTGTGCCCATTCCAAAGATCCAAAGAAAGGTGGTCCAACACAATGTGGAAATTATTGAACAATCGCATTAATATCACACACAAGTAAAATTTTTCTGAAGATTATTCCGAAACGGTTGCAACACTACATTGACAGGGAACTGCCAGAAAGAAGTTCTAGTAGATTCAGAAGAGGATATGCAATGAAGGATATCATTGCTGATGTCAGATGCATCTTGGACGAAAGCAGAGAATACTAGACAGACGTTCACCTGTGTTTTATTGACTATGCAAAGGCATTGGATTGTGTGGATCCTAACAAATTATGGATAAGATTGCAAAGATTGGGAATTCCAGAACACTTAATTGTACTCATGAGGAGCCTCTACATACACCAAGAGGCAGCTATTCGAACAGAAAAAGGGGCTACTGTATGGTTTGAAATCAAGACAGGTGTGCGTTGGGGTTATATCCTTTCACCATACTTCAATCTGTATGCTGAGCAAATAATTTGAGAAGCTGGACTGTATGAAGAAGAGTGTAGCATCAGGATTGGAGAAAGACTCATTAACAACCTGCTATACGCAGATGACACAACCTCGCTTGGTGAATGTGAAGAGGACTTGAAGCACTTACTAATGAAAATCAAAAACTACAGCCTTCAGTATGGATTGCACCTCAACATAAAACGAAAATCCTCACAACTGGACCAATAAGCAACATCATGATAAATGGAGAAAAGACTGAAGTTATCAAGGATTTCATTTTACTTGGATCCACACAATGCCCATGGTAGCAGCGTCAGGAAATCAGATGACATATTGCATTGGGCCAAACTCCTACAAAAGACCTCTTTAAAGTGTTAAAAAGCAAAGATGTCCCTTGAGGTCTAAGGTGCAGCTGACTCAAGCCATGTATGCGAAAGCTGGACGATGAATAAGGAAAACTGAAGAAGAATTGATGCCTTACAATTATGGTGTTGGTGAAGAATACTGAATATACTATGGACTGCAAGAAGAATGAACAAATCTGTCTTGGAAGAAGTACAGCTAGAATGCCCCTTGGAAGCAAGGATGACGAGACTTCATCTTAAGTACTTTGGACATGTTATCAGGAGGGACCAGTCCCTGGAGAAGGACATCATCCTTGGTAAAGTAGAGGATCATTGAAAAAGAGGAAGACCCTCAATGAGATGGATTGACACAGTGGCTGCACAGTGGGCTCAAACATAGCAATGATTGTGACGATGGTGTAGGACTGGACAGTGTTTAGTTCTATTGTACATAGGGTTGCTATGAGTCCAAACCGACTTGAGGGCACCTAACAACCAATAACAGGCTGTAGCCAGATAGGAAGTTTTGAATGATTTCCCAAAGATGCTGATGTTTGGATTTCATTCTAGGGACAGTGATTCTGTTTTACATTCCACATATCTAAAATACTATCTTCAAAAACACCTTTGCCCGTTTTAATAGTTCCATTGTCCTCTTAGTCACCAGGATCAAACTATGTTCCTCTTTGACTCCTCCATCTCTCATTTTCTGTATTTAATCATTTACCAAGTCCTGTTGACAATAATCCCTGTGTTTCTGCTGAGCCCTCTGCCACTGCTTGAACATTGCCTATGGTTCAGTTCACAATTTCTTCTTTCCCCCCATAGTCTCTCCAAGAAGAAAACTGTATCAGCTATTTTTAATAACCTTTCCAACCTTCAGATTCCACGTTTCCATGGGGGGGGTGGGGATCCTGCCTCATAGTTTGATAAACTCCAATTTATGTCCCCCACACTAAACTTTTTCCTTAAAAACAATTTATGTAATTCAAATATTCTGTTCATTTGTTCTTGTATGTCTTACCATCATTTAAACTGAGCATTTTCCAACTCCCTTCCCAACTGATTCCCCCACTTGATATCTTAATAGAGACCATATAAGATAGTGGTTAAAAGTACAGAATCAAGAACTAAACTGCCTGGCTTTAAATCCTGGCTCAACCACTCAATATCTGCATAACCTTGAGCAAGTTACTTCTTGATTCTTCAACTTCCTCATTTGTAAAATGGGATAATAATTTCATCTCATAGGGCAATTTAAAAGATTATGAAAGTTAATTATGTAGTATGTATGTGTATATATATGTATATATAATACATATAATATGTTGTTGTTCTTAGGTGCCCTCAAGTAGGTTCTGACTCATAGCGACCCTATGTACAATGAAACAAAATACTGCCTGTTCATCCTCACAATTGCTGGCATATTTGAGCCCATTGTTGCACCCACTGTGTCAGTCAACCTCATTGAGGGTCATGCTCTTTTCCAATGACCCTGTACTTTACCACGCATGGTGTCATTCTCCAGGGACTAGTCCCTCCTAATAACATGTCCAAAGTACATGAGACGAAGTTTCACCATCCTTGCTTCTAAGGAGCATTCTGGCTGTACTTTTTCCAAGACAGATTTATTCGTTCTTCTGACAGCCCATGGCATATTCAATATTCTTCTCCAACACCATAATTAAAAAGTATCAATTCTTCTTTGGTCTTCCTTAGTCATTGTCCAGCTTTCACATACATATGAGGTGATCGAAAATACCATGGCTTGGGTAAGGCGCATCTCACAGTGACATCTTTGCTTCTTAACACCTTAAAGAGGTCTTTTGCAGCAGATTTGCCCAATGTAATATGTCATCTGATTGATTTCCTGACTGCTGCTACCATGGGCATTGATTGTGGATCCAAGTACAATTAAATCCTTGACAACTTCAGTCTTTTCTCTGTTTATCACGATGTTGCCTATTGGTCCAGTTGTGAGGATTTTTGTCTTATGTTGAGGTGCAATCCATACCGAAGGCTATAGTTTTTGATCTTTATCAGTAAGTGCTTCAAGTCCTCTTCACATTCTGCA